CCATTTTCTCGGATAATATGATTTTTTCCCAAAAAATATTTATCTTGATGGGCTCACCTATTATACTAGAAGGTTCAAATCAATTTTTTATCCAAGTAATGCTCCTTTAGTTCCTTTTTGAAGGAGATTCCTTTTGTAATGTTTTAGTAGTATTTTAGTATGGGATACTAACTTTTTAAAGGATACTCCTCTTTCAATATTTTAGTGATCTTTCAATGTGGAATATTAATCAATTGTCAATTTTAAGTGTTTCTAGTTTATTTTATTATTTTCATTAAAAATCATAACCTCAACAAGATTATAATAACAAATAATATCAATTTAAATATTGTAAATTATTTTTGGACATATTAATTATTGATTTTTGATGTTATAAAACAAATTATTATAATTATTTTTATCTTATAATAAAAAATTAAATCTCTTCAAATATTTCAATTAACAATATTAAATTATTATCTAATATTACTTATTATTTGAAAATTATGTGTAAAGCATAATATAAGTTTCAAAATGGAAAAAATTAAGCCCCTGTTTGGCCTCCATTACGGGGAAAATTTAATGTATAGAATAGTGTTTTTTGAAAAATGAGTGGTTGAAAAAGAAAGAAAAATTTTCGATTTACGTGTAATATTATTTTATGGAAGATTGTGTGGTTGAAAATAGGAGAGAGAAAAATAGAATGTAATGTAATGTAATTTAATGAAAGTCAAACAAGGGCTAAGTTTACTAGATTACGATATAATATATAAAATATATTATATTATTATAATAAATTGGATTGGATTGCTATTGGATCGGATCAACCTATATCCATATTTGCTCCATTTAGTTAACGGATTATCGAATTCGAATTTTAATTGGATTATCAGACTGAGACCCTAAATCCATCTCTCATTAATTTCATCGAATTCGAATCAAAATCTAATCCATTGACAACCCTAATCGTAGTGACATCCTTCATTATAATAAGAATATGGGTTAAATCCTCAAATGCCATCCAACTTTGTATTTAGTATCATCATATTCATCCAATTTGATTTTGTTCCATCGTGGCCACCAACTTTATATTTAGTGTCTCTATGGCCATCTAATTTGATTTTATTTCATCATGGCAATCCAATTTCATAAAAAGTTTCATCGAAACCACCAACGTTTCACTATGGCCACCCAACTTCTTTTCACAATCAGTGGCGAACGTAAACGTTCTGAGTTGGTGGGGTACAATCAAACTTGTAAAGAATACAAATTTACGTTTATCTCAAACATCATCAAGTTTGTCATCTTTTTTTTTTTTTTTTTTTTTTTTTTTTTTTTTTTTTTTTTTTTTTTTTTTTTTTTTTTTTTTTTTTTTTTTTTTTTTTTTTTTTTTTTTTTTTTTTATTTATCTCTATCATCATTTTCATCACTTTTATCTCGAACAATCTTTTGATTAACATTGTAATCATCAAAAGAAAAAGCATATTTACGTTTAAATTATTTTTCCATCACAATTAATGAAAACAATCAATTCAAGTGATAAATACGAAAATCATAGCAAATTCTGAATGTTACTTATCAACTGCATTTCAATTCAAACAAAGACAAAAATTACAGCAAGGATCCATTACCATAAAATCGTCAAAACAAGATAAAATTTGGAGCACTTAAGGGAATCCCCAATTCCATTTCATAAGAAAATACAAAAGAAATCATCAAAAAGAAATA